TACGTTTACGGCGTATTGCTGTATGCTAATTTTAAACGTTTCCTTAACCCATCTATTTATAGACGGCCGACTCTCGAGACCCTTTAAAACGTCTCGCTGGTCCATTTGTCGCTCGAAAGCACCACGAATAATTTAACGGCTTGCTTTGAAACCGGGCCGTGCACGCTTGCACGCGTTGCATTTGTATATGTATATGTATATGTATATGCCCGCGTAACCGCACAACCGCACAACCGCACAACCGCAAAGTTCAAAGTTTTCGTCTTTCCTGAAATTTCTATAAATTCACTTGAGCATTTTTCTTTTCTTTTGCATTCACTTACCGTCTCTACTATAGTAATTTGCCGTATACACGATTGCCACACAGTTGCAGCATCGGACACAGACGAGGGCTGAGAAAAAGATGAAAATATAGTAAATAATGTAGGAAAGCAAAGGAAAAATAGTAGAAATTGGAATAAGCGTTTTTCAAATAAAATGAAGGAGGTGAAAGGTGCGCAATACGAATCGAAGGCGGCAGAAACGATAAGAAGACGATGGGTAGGTTTGTATTAGGAAGTGCGGTGAAAAGCGGCTGGAAGGTAATAGAGCGGTGCAACGAGCAGACACCTCGCAATTTGGCTAATGGCTTCCCACCGGTATCGTGGCAGCTCGGGAAACACGGATACGCAACACGCGCTCTAGCTACTTTTCCCCTTCTCGCTTCCTCATCGTTATCCACCACCGCTCCGTTTTTCTACTTTTCTATATATATGTATACCTACATATATTTCTACTAATCACTCGCTTACCTTACCGCTATTAGTACAGATTTTTCCCGAAATACAAAGATTCGTTTTATGTCGAAAGTTGAATGACTAGCTGCGAAAGCGACGAAACGTTGAAGAAGAATTTTCGAAATTATCTCTACATCTCTACGTGGCAACGACGTTGTTTCATATTCGATCCTTTAGAGAATTCTATCGTCGGTAGTTTGTGCAAAGGGTGAAGTTAAAATTCGAAGGATTCGTAGAAGGAAGGGATCGTCGTCGGTGCGGTTCGAGAAGAAACTGAGGTAACGCGAGAGGGTGGATGACGAGATCGTGGACGCCGGATTGCAGATTCCCATGGGGCTGTCGGAAGAGAAGAACGGTTACTAGTTCGCTCGTTCGTTCGTTCGTTCGTCCCGACTTTTGTCGCGAAAAACGCAGAGTGCGAAGAGCTTAGAAAGTAAAACGAAGAGATAGGGAGGAAAAAAAGAAACCAAGAGACCAGAGAGTTTAGATGGGCGGGTGGATGGTTAGGTGGTAGGGTAACCAAAAGAGAATGTGTATATATATATTTATAGAGAGTGAGAACGGGGGAGAAGAGAGAGAGAGAGAGAGAGAGAGAGAGAAATAGCAGAGGAAGTAGAAGATAGCTTTAGTCAGTTGGGAGGGTTGGGAGGTGTGGCGAATGGCGATTACGGCTAGCCTAGCGTAGAAACAGCTATCTTCCATCTCGAGTCCTAGAGTCTAGAACGTATAGCTAACACGTTGGAAGGTTTCAACCCTTTCTCGTTACTCGATATCGAGGCCGACGCTATCGTACGTTTCAAAAAACATTCTTTCTCTTCTTTTCAAGCAGGGGCAAAGTTTGAATTATTTGAAATAAAGGTAGGTTGTACGGTAAGGGGTAGTAAATTAATTTTTCCTCGACATAGAGAAACATAGAGAAGGTGTGATGCAATTAATATGAGGATACAAGTGGATAGTCGTTGGCAGTTAAACGTGTAGGGTTGAAGGGTGTTGGGTAGGTAGATTGGTCGGGAGTCGGGGGTTGCTAGACCGATGCGATGGTGGCAGTAACGCGATAAACGGATTAACAGCCAACTCTCGGCGTGGTGGTCGCAGTTTTGTAGTTGAGCATATCGGAATTGGAGACGTCCCTCCCGTTCTGTTCGAGCGATTGGAAAAATAACAAGACGTATACCTACACATGTACATACATACATACTTACATATGGGAGAAATCGGATTTACAACAAAACTATGAACAGGGTGAGGAATGGAGAAGAGAACGGAAGTGAGAAGGAACATACGCGAACGAATGAATTTAGTGGTTAACGAATATCGCGTTATCGTCACACTGTCGTCTAAATTCAAAAGTAAAGTAATATTTCAATACAGTCAGTGCATGTTTATTATTAAAAAATTTCTTTTTCTTATTATTTCATTTTGTTACAGGTATAAAATAATAGATGGAATGAAATATGAAATATAGTAGAAGACATATGTATAGTAGAAGAAGGATAGCTGTGCCGAATCGAACGTCGCGTTGATAAGTTGTTCCGACACGATCGGCACCGTCAGGCTACATTTCGCGATCGCTCCTGTCGAGTTGAAACGACACGACGCGACGCGACGCGACGCGACGCGACGCTACGTCGGTCGTCCCGCTAATGAGGACGTCCTTTCTTGCATACCGGATAACGTTTCGCCGTCGGGCGATGCCGCGCGTCTCGAATTTCTCGTGTACGCCTCTTCTTCGTTTCGCTTGCCTCCTTCTCTTCTTCAGGGAACGATCAATGCCGAAGCCACCGGGCAAACCTGCTCTTTCCATCTTCTATCCTCGTTCCGCTCCCTCTCTTTCTCTATCCTACATCTTATCGCGAAAAGTACGTAACACGCTGAGTTTGCCATCGATCGATCGACTCTCTTACTCGATGGAGACGACAGACGACTGACGACCGACGACGACACAACTTGGAAGAACAGTGACGATTCTTTTAGCGGGAAAAGCATCGCAAAACGATTGAAGTAACGCGCAATCATTTAATCCCGCGTTCCTTACAATTCAAATAGTTAAGAATACATGAGCGATATGCATACATGAAAGAAAAAGTAGGTACACAAATATTAGAAAGTACAATATTCATTTGGCGTTAATAATGAAAGATCGGTAGACAAAAGAAGAAACCGAAGGAAAGGAAAGATAGTCGTCTTTGAACGCAACGATTAACTACGAAATGCAAAAGTACAGAGCGATTTAACAAATTTGGTCTACGAACGAATGCGTCCAATTCAGCGTAAGTTTGTCGCGTGCACGGACGCAGAAACGTGCGATACATATATTGGTTGGTAGGTAGGCAGAGGAAACGGCACGTTGACACGACGCGTCGCGTCGCGTCGCGTCGCGTCGCATCGCGGCGGTCGACCGACAAGCCGACAGGCTGGCACGTTGGCACCCAGCCACGCAGCCAGACCGGCAGCCTGACACGCACGTATTCACGTACAAGCTCGTTCGCACGTACGTGATACGTTTGCGTGGGTGGAACGTTTTAGGTAGCGCGTGCCGACTGCCGCCTCTTCTACCTCTGCTGTCATAGCCTTCCTGGCTTGCACGCTTTCTCGCTCTTCGGTATGCTCTCGTCGCCTCTTTGCCAGCAACTTTTCCCGTTTCCTCTTGAACGACGCCACCGCCACCGTAGCCACGTCTTTCGCTAACCACCCAGTACCCGTTGCACGCCCCGCCATGCCGACGCGACGGTCCACCCATTCGACCATTCGCTCCTTCTCTCTTCCTATCGGCTATAAACCGTCCACCGGTAGTCTCTCTTTCCCTCTGCTTGGTACATGGCACACGCGACACGCCACACGCCTCTGGTCGCACCCCAACCCACACCGTCGACGTTCAGCTCGCGCCGCATGCCGTCTACCATCCACCGCTCGCTACCTGCCTCCTGCCTCCTACCGCAACCTCGTCGTTGGCCACCCGCCTCGAGGGCTCATCACCTCGACCAGCCGAACAGTACGGATCGAGCTTGTCCTATGACGGCACTTGCTCCACTCCCTCGGCCGCCATGCGCTACATCCAGCCCGAGTTGACTCGATTCCAGCCACGCCGTATCGAACCGCTTCGCGCCACGTCGGTTCGTATCACGCCGATGGATGGCATCGCGCCGAATCGTGCCACGTCGCGTCGCGTCGCGCCACTTGCAGGTAGCGCCGTGCTGGCTCGTGCCGTGCCACTACCGACAACGAGCCATCACTCGCCCTCATCCCACTACCGCTTTTCTTCGGCAACTCGTCGTAATTCCCTGCGCCACGGCGTTATCCTCGTCCATATCCAGTCACACGCACACGACCTGCCTACTGCCGTTACCATCACCGCCTTTTCGTTTGCAGCGAGAGGCAGCAAGCTAGAAAGAATGAGTGAAAAGAAAAATGAACAGAGCTATACGAGAAGGGAGAGAGATAGGAAATGCCATCGTACAGACAGACAGTAGACAAGCAGATAGTTGGAGAGATAGTCAGACGGATAGTCGAACAGAAGGAGATTAAAGATCCACCATGAACAGCTATGATGCAACTCGTTTATTGCGTTTAGCATGTAACTGTAATCGTAACTTGAAACAGATTCGTCTTTGCTACACACACACAAGGTTTGCAAATCGATAGAAAATCTTTGGCGTTGTCCACGGAAAATATTAGTTATTCAACAGCCAAACGATTTATACGATTTCGATGAAAAACTACTGTACGCATAGATGTTGGATAATTCACTCAGAGCTTAACGTTATACATATGTGAACCGATGAAAATGTCAGTTTTCGTATGTTACTAAGGTGCGTAACACTTTCGGCACGTAATAACGCAAAGACACGTTGGATGTATTCTTGTTCCGTAGAACGATGCGTCGCGGTCGCGGTCGCGGTCGCGGTTGCGTCCGCGATTGTTGGACGATAAACGATATGGTGAAAAAGAAGAAAAACTCGAGAGTAGGGTAGATGGCATGCAAGCAGCATGCAACTGACTAGAAACGGTAGGGAAACGGTAGGAAAAGAAAGTATAGGAAGCGTAAGTGAGCAGAGAGGAGAGTAGAAGAAAGAGATGATAGGGTAGTAGAGAGAGTAAGAGTGAGGGTGAGATAGAATAGGTAGCCGCAAGCAAGGGCGCGCGTGAGTGGGCAAGCGAATCCTCCTCATCCTCTGTCTCAGCCCCTTGACGGTAGCGGTTCTGGCAAGCAGCCACCATCGGGTCCCCCGCCACCCGACTCGTCCGACGCGAAACACTCGCCACCCAGCGCCTGCCACCCGCCACCCGCCACCCGCCGCCCGCCACCCGCCACACGCACGGCCAACCGCGGCGCGATCCTCTGTGCGGTTCCCGGCTTCTCGTTCGCGATTCACACACGCGCGAATCTTGGCGAACAGCCGCCAGCTACCGCTCGTCGGCTCGCAGTTCGTCATCGTCCTTCGTGCAGTAAGGATATACCGCGAATTTTTCAAAATATCGCTTACACAAAGTCAACGAAAAGCGTACCGCTTTTATCTTGAACGTTGTCATGGTCGTTTGACCGTCGACTAAATCAATGAGAAAAAAAGATTCTCTCGTGTTTCCTGAACAGTTATACGTATAAAAAATCGTAATTGAATTTGAAGAAAAGTTTATTCCGATATTCGACATAAATGAAATAGAAATTCGTTAAATGTCAAGTTCGCGGTACGCGAAACAAATCTGAAATAACGCGATATATTTTATTCATCTTTAAATCGACTAATTAAATGGCCGAAATAAAGGAGTGAAAATTAATGTTTTTTAAAAATAAGTGAACCAAATGGACTTTATCGAAATTACGAAGAAACGGATGGAGAGAATAGATCGAACGGAACGAAGAAACGCCTATAAAGAATAATACATAAGAGAACCTATGTCGTCATGAGTGTGACTTGTGATGAACCACGTGGTGTCCATACGTATACCGAAAGCTTATTCTATTTGAGATCGTGGAAAAACCTGAAAATTTTATCATGGAAAGTTGAGTGTTTCTGTTGTAACAAGCACGTGTTTTCTTTTCAAAGACACTGGTAATAACAATTGAAGCTATACAGGCACAATGCAGCAACAAAGTTTCGCTCGACACGATGCTTATTTACCTGACAGAGCAGATACATCTTGATGCATTAATCATAGAGAGGATTTCTGCTGTTATTCTATATCGTTTAAGGTGTTAACAGTCTCGTTAAAACGACAAACTATACAGCGAGAGTTTTGTGCTGCACACTAGTGTCGAAACAGTTGAAATCAAATAAAGGTAGTGTGGTGTCAGCGTAGTGCCGCGTAGCTTTCTAGATCGCGAAATGCTGAGTGCTTCAGCTGCGTCCAGCCGACTTTTTTGGACGCTGAGATCCATTCTACCTCTGGCATCGTTGCCACCGCTGTTGCCGCCGCCGCCGCCGTCGTCGACGTCGTCGTCGTCGTCGTCGTCGTCGTCGCCGTCGTCGTCGTCGTCGTCGTCGTCGTCGTCGTCGTCGTCGTCGTCGTCGTCGTCGTCGTCGTCGTCGTCGTCGTCGTCGCCGTCGTCGTCGTCGTCGTCGTCGTCGTCGACGTCGACGTCGAAGTCGCCTTTGTCGTTACCACCGTTGCCGCCACTTTGGTCATCGTCATCCTTATTGTTGCCGTTGCCATTGTTATTATTATCATTAGAGTCATTTCCATTGATATCATTAGTACTATTCTCATTATCGTCGCTACAGTCAGAGGCCCGTGCGGCCTATTAAAATGACCGCTCGTCTTCATTCGTTGAGGCATCAAGAGAAGAAATTGGCCGGTAATAGTCATAGACAGCATCATCATCAGCAATCTCAAAATCAGCAAAGTGCGCAGCAGGGGGCCAGTCCGGCTGCCAGCCCTAGTCCTAGTCTTAGCCCGAGCCCTAAACACTCGGACGGCCGTAGAGTGAGTACAATTGTAATTCTCCTTCTTTTCGCGTTTGATAGAAGAGCGCAGTTTGATCGGTTAACGTATGCTCGATCACTAGAGATCGGTTAGACTTAATTAGCACATTTGCAAAGAAACCGCTTGTACACGTATATACGTAAATAAAGGTTTGAATTTTGAAACGTATATACGTTCATACATATATATTTACTGATTTATTAATGGCAAAAATGAAATAAAGAAAAAACGCATGAGAAATAAATTGAACAGATAGAGGACACCGTATTACTTGCAACGCGTGACTAACTTTTGAACGATACCGTTACTGTGTATTTATATATGTATGTGATATATTTTAGGCTAATAAACCACTAATGGAAAAGCGACGGCGAGCGAGGATCAATCAGTCGTTGGCGGCGCTAAAGGCGCTTATACTTGACAGCGCCCGGCTAGAGAACACGAAGCATAGCAAGCTCGAGAAAGCTGACATTTTGGAATTAACGGTTCGGCATCTGCAAAGGCAACGATCTCTTGCTCAACCTGGTTTATCCAGATACAAGGCCGGCTATCAAGATTGTTCTAGGGAGGTAAGATTGAGGCGACAATTAGGTTTGTCAAGAGGATGAAAATGAACTATCCGAAATGAAGTAGCCGGGATTCGTTTCCACGAATCGAAAAGGATAGTTGAATAAAGAATATAGCCGATTAAAATTTGTGCCACAGGTGAGTCGGTACCTTGATGCTCCGGATATAATCACAGGGAATACGACACCGATGGACCCAGCTGTGAAACAGAGGTTACTCAGACATTTAGACAGTTGCGTGTCAGAATTGGACTTGGACCTAGGTTCGAGGCCGGATAGCGGATTAGGCAGCAGTCCCGGAAGCGTGACGGATCGAGTGACGGGTGCGAGTAGCCCCGGTCCGTTAGAGCATCACGTACCATCGGTTTCGCGTTCTAGTACAGCACTAAATCCGACTGGCTTGATAAAAGCAGAAATCCCGGATATCGAACCAGCCAGACCGGATAGCAGTACTACCGCTGGCGATGAAAACAACAATAATAGCAGCAGTGGTAGCAATAGCAATAATGGGCCAAGTACCGCGTTTGGTCAGGTTAACAGCACCGGTAACCTTGACCCTCCTCCTCCTCCTCCTCATCATCATCATCATCATCATCATCATCATCAACCTCCATCTGTTCCCACTCCGTCCGGCATACCGGTTATCGATCAACCTTCTAGTTCTCAACAAAATCCAAACATGCTATCGGTGGTACAAGTGATTCCCTCTAGATTACCCGACGGTCAAGTCGTTTTCCTTCTTCCTAGTCATTACGTTCAATTGGCAGCCGCTGCCGCTGCGAACGGTATCAATATCGGACCGAATCCACCGACCACGGTATGGGCTGCCACTAACATGTCTTTCCTAAAGGCAACGGACAAGCTCGCGAAACGACACCACGAAGATATGCAAGAATGGCAAGACGCGGTCTCGTCCGTGGCCGCAAATGCCACCGTTGCGAATGTCACGACTGCCGTCACCGCCGGCATTACCGTTGCTGCTACCGCTACCGTTATTGCTACCGCTGCCGCTGCAGCTACCGCTACCGCTACCACGTCCGTCAACGCTTCCGTTTCCGCTTCCATTTCCGCTTCCGCCCCCGTTTCCACCTTCGTCACCGACAATCTTCTGTCTGCTTCGAAATCCAATAACGGTGTTCCGAAAGTCGAGCAAACGGAACAACCTCTTGATTTCACAACTACCTCGAAAAAGCTGAAAAGCGGCACCAAGAGTACGCTGCCGTCCGTTCTTCAACACCATCTTCACCACCACCACCACCACCATCATCATCATCAACAACAACAGCAACAACAGCAACAACAGCAACAATTTACGACGATGACAACGACCACCACGACCGCTCGGTTATCCATCGAAGGATCCCTCGAGCCGGAAGAAAGATCCTTTCGTCGCGCCAACAACGAATTCGTAACAGGAATTCGTTCGCCGTCTCCTCATCCACACCAACAACCCATCAAGGACGAAGAAGGAATGTGGAGACCTTGGTAAACTTTAAACACCATCATCGACAGATACCTACACAGAACAATCGCGTACCTACTTTATACGCGAGTGCTTTTACGTGAAACGGTGCAAATGTGCATATGTTTCGTTGTTAAATACAATTCGATGTAATGCGTGAAAAAAATTGTACAAAAAAAAAAACGACCACGACCATCACGACGATCAATATTTACCACTCCCAAGTAAATGGAACAATTCTTGTTCTTTCCCTACCTGATCCCTCTCCAAAAACATTGAAACCAAAGTAAAAGTAAAAGTAAAAGTAAAAGTAAAAGGAGAAGCAATGAAAAAAGACGATGAGAAAAAATTGAAAACAGGAAGTGTGCTGCACGATAGACGTAAGAAAAAACCAACCAAGGACGGAAATACAGTGTGATACGCGGCAAAAAACGGTTGGTTCGACCGACTCGTGGTTCTAAATAATTACATAAATGATCGATCGGTATTGGTGTGGATCAGTTCCCGTATATTTGCGGCATAGAACGGTACAGATTCGCTGGTTCGTGTGCAAAAAGTGCATCAACGAGAAAAGTGTTACGAAAGAAAAATAAAGATTATCGAATGATATTGCCGATTATCCAAAATCTGTTAGAGATTGAAAAAACGTTATCTGTTTGATATGTTTGAAATGTTAAAAAATAACGATGTACGTATATGTATATGACAAAGATCTAGCACGTGTAGAATGCGAGCAACGAGAAAGTTTCGCGCATAGTACTTTTATTCCGCCAACGTGTATATAGTCCCGATTCGAAATAATGCCGGAAATAGATTTATTTTGATGTTAACTAGGTGTATATACATACGAGATGAATGTAGAAAGACAGAGGGGTGAGAGAGAGAGAGAGAGAGAGAGAATCTAAGTGCGCTGCGTACGTTGTCGATGCAAATGCATCAGTAGGACATTTTGTTCCTTTTCGTAAACATAACAGTTCACGTTTTAGCTGAACCGTGATTTCTATGCAATTTACTTTTGCAGTTACAATGATGAGGCGCGAATTCATAACTTGATGTACTTACGATTAGATGTATCGATCAATATAAAAACGCGCGCGGGTGTGTATCTCGGTATACAAAAACATTGAGAAATTACTTCATTTTTCCTTTTCATCGATCTCGCTTTTCATTCCGTCGAATACATACCCATCAAAATGCGAGCCCAATGTACTGGAACAATGATGATAATAATTGTATCAAGTAATAGCATTTTTCTTTATTTGTCAAAATGATTATTATAGAATCCCATTTCGATTAACATACCACCCATCTATAATCTATAATATTCGATCCTTTATATTCTTCGGATTCAATGAAACAGAAGAAGAACGGGAATTAGAAAGTAATGATAGCTTTGGTGTTATCTAATAAGTACAGAAATTAAAGGGAAATTAAAAACATATGTCATCGTAGTGGAAGATACGATTGTGCCTATTCAGCTATAAATCATATTCCGAAGTGCTGAGTTTCCGAGATATAAGTTGACTTAAACTAAGGAATTGTTCAATGGATAACTGAAATGGATATGAAGATTACTTTTACTCGTCGGCAAAGTTGAACTTGTTCGACTTTTGCACCTGTTTTACAGTAGTTTAACCACCTGTTACGTTCAGATCTGCACCAAAGTTGCACGTTTTTCTTTTTCGCGAAACACGCGACCATTTCTCGGCCACCACCCCAACTCCTCATCGCGACCTACTGCTTCACCTGACCAATCCGAAGATTGCTTCTGTTTTTACCACGTACTGTCATTCTACTTTTTTTGTCTTTTTTTTTTTGTACTGTATATTCCGATATGCCAGAGAATCTGAAAACTAAACGGTAAGTGAAACTGGAAATGTATTAGAACACAGAGAGGCAATTGTAATGCGATAGATCTTTGCTTCGAAAGGATAATATTGTGTACCGATTAAAGCGAAAACGACGCTTGATTCGTTACGATTTTCGATAGAATCCTGCATATCGATCATTCCTTAAATCGAAATATGTATTCAGAATTTGAAAATCTCGACTTTGGCACGAGTCTAAGGCAAGGCAAGCGACTACTATCGACGAACATGTGGTTTCTAAAAGTTACATTCTAAATCGTAGAGTGCGCCACGAAAGCGATGTCGGAAATCAAGTGTTAAGCTACGTCGATATTTGACAACCTTTACAGTGCGATACATGGTAAAAATACTTATCTGCTATGTAATAGTTACGTACTGCGCAGGTAAAGTTATCAACGCTATACCGACGAGCGAGATGTTGCGTACCTCGACAGAAAACTGGATCGATTACCGTTGACAGATTCATCAATGTTGTTTGTTTGTAACTTGTTTGAAATATTATTTTAGGGCATTCGTCAGAGAAAGATGTATAGAAAAAGAAGTAAGGAATTATGAATAAGATTGTGCAGTATTTTTTTTTCTTGTATCCCTCGATTACATGTGTGTTTTTTGTTTTTATTTTTGGATTCAACAGATGAAAGTAAAAATAAGCGAATTTAAAGCAAAATATTTTCAATCGTAACAAAAATAAAGTAGTAATTTTTTATTATAAATTCTTCTTTTATCGATTGAAAGATATAATAATAATAATAATAAGGATGATGATGATGATGTTGTGATCTTTGCCTGAACGAGTGAATATAGCTGCCTCTCGCTGAATAATCAATTGTAAGTAAGAGTATGATGTATATCGATACGTATCGATACCAAATATCGATACAAGTTTGCTTTGAGAAAGAATATTTCGCGAAAAGGTCGGTCTTCGAATGTATGTATGTACGGTATGCGGAAAGTTTGTCTTCGGAAAAGTCAATTTATCCCCTGTGGCTGGGGGTTTAGAATACAGCCACGGTAATCCCTGCCTGTCGTAAGAGGCGACTAAAAGGGGGCGTTGCTACGATTTCGGGTCTGGGGCATAGACATAGGAAGTATATTTACCTATTTTTGATTTTAGAGCAAGGTTTCTTATGTATATACCGGCAATTTCACCAATTTGCGTATAGTTGCTTCTCCATATTTAAATAAACTATTATTTCCTATGCCCTACTTTCTACATTACAAGTTATCTTTCTAACTAACTGTTTTATTGTAGCATACGTTTGAGAATACGCGCAGCCATGATGGCGCTCACGGTTGATCGATTTATCGATCGGGAGTCGTCCATCTAGGTGAACGCGTGAGCAGTGGTCTTCTCGCCGGCTCGCGCGCAACGACGCCATTATAGTGCGGTTGGAAGTATTCCAAGTCTCCGATCGACTGTTTACATGTAAGTTTGATTGCTTGGTGTAATATTTTTACTTGTTTTGTCTTATTTCCTTTGAGTGTCCTAACTCTCACCCTAACCCCTTCGCCTAACCCTAACCCTAGCATGGTAGGTGTGTATGTGCCCTAGTATGTTAGGGTTAGGACACGTACCCTAACTCTAACCCCTTCCCCTCAACCTAACCCCTTCGCCTAACCCAGTAACCCTAACCCCTTCGTCTAACCCTAACCCCAACCCTAATCCTAACCCTAACCCCCTTAACCCTAACCTCTAACCATAACCCTAACCCCCTTAACCCTAACCCTAACCCTAACCCTAACCCCCTTAACCCTAACCCCTAATCCTAACCGTAACCTCGAACCCTAACCCTAACCCTAACCCTAACCCTAACACCTAACCCTAACCCTAACCCTAGCCCTAACCCTCTAACCCTAACCCCCTAACCCTAACCTGTAACCATAACCCTAACCCTAACCCCCCTCCCCTTAACCTTAACCTCTAACCTGTAACCCTAATCCTAACCGTAACCCTAACCCTAACCCTAATCCACTTAACCCTAACCCCCTTAACCCTAACCTCTAACCATAACCCTAACCCTAACCCCCCCCCTTAACCTTAACCTCTAACCTGTAACCCTAACCCTAACCCTAACCCCCTTAACCCTAACCCCTGACCCTAACCCTAACCCTAACCCTAACCCTAACCCCCTTAACCCTAACCCTAACCCTAACCCTAACCCCTAACCCTAACCCTAACCCTAACCTGTAACCCTAACCCTAACCTGTAACCCTAACCCTAACCCGTAACCCTAACACCTAACCCTAACCCTAACCCTAGCCCTAACCCCCTAACCCTAACCCCCTAACCCTAACCCCTAACCCTAACCCTAACCCTAACCTTGACCCCCTTAACCCTAACCCCTAACCCTAACCCTAACCCTAACCTGTAACCCTAACCCTAACCCCTAACCCTAACCCTAACCCCTAACCCTAACAGCTAACCCTAACCCTAACCCTAGCCCTAACCCTAAC